CCCTCTTTTATGGGATTCCCCTGGCTTGTAATCACACAATTCCATTGGCTGGTAAGACCCCGTTGCTAGTTAGCCAACCAGCAACGGGCATGAAACTGTATGCAGATGGAGAAGGGCAATCACCCTTAATGGGTGATCAATGGAGAAGGGCAATCACCCTTAATGGGTGATCAGGATGCGCATAGGGAATTAAGGGGGGAGAATACAAAAGAACACAACAGAAAACATTAGCATAAAGCTATATTTATTTATTCTGTCTGGACTCCTGATTCCTGCACTTGACAATTACTTTGTACCAGTCACTCTGTTTTAGCCCCACCTATAGCTCAGGATTGTGACTGTGGAGTAAAATACAGAAAACCTAATTATCTATCTATCTATCTATCTATCTATCTATCTATCTATCTATCTATCTATCTATCTATCTATCTATCTATCTATCATCTACCTACCTATCTACCTATCTACCTACCTACCTAACCTACCTACCTACCTACCTACCCACCTACACCTATACCTACTGTATATATATCTACTGTCTGTCTGTCTGTCTGTCTGTCTGTCTGTCTGTCTGTCTGTCTATCTATCTATCTATCTATCTATCTATCTATCTTCATTCAACCAATAAACAGCTAAATAAACATGTATTTTTAAAAAAATCAATAAAATATTGGTTTCTTCCTTTCCAGATAAACAGCATGCTAAATGTTCATCCTGCACTGTGAGCATTAATCTGCAGTCAGTATGATGGATTATTCTTTGAAACCTAAGGCCTAAAATCTCAGACAAAAAAGACTATAAATATTTTGATATGGATTAATATATGAGCTCAAACAATCAAGCCTTAGAAAAAGAATATTTCTTTTAATGTAAGTACATTCAAATAATTTGGAGCTATTTCAGAGTGGGAAGACAATGGCCAACTTTTTTTCTTCATTATCTTCCATTTTCAAGCAAAAAACATTACAGTCACAGACACATCTCCTGAATATTGACAGCTTAAACAAGGTGAAGAACAAATGGGAGAATTTAGGAATGGATGAGGGGATGGGAAAATGTTTCGAAGAAGTAATGAAAAACTTTCCAAATGAGCCTTCATGGGTAATGAAAAATGCTCAGATGGTTCTCAAGGGGGATGATGGGAAAGTGATCTCTTTTGCTTCAGGAAACAAAGAATGGAAAATTAATGTTTCTGCTGGAGATTACAAGTACCATGTGAAAGCTCCATCAAAATCTGCATATTTGGCCAGATTACGCTCTCGGCAGCAACCCCTTAGCATTGGATATTTGAAAAAAGTGCAAAAAGACTTGAAGAAATTGGGGTCACTGACTCTGGCTGAGAAGAGTTGCTTTAACATGGTCTTCCAAAGGTTCTCTACGAAATCGCTTCAAATACAAAATAATGCCCAGATAAAATTCAACTTTGACATGGATGGAGAAAATGTGGAATATGTATTCCTCTCAGGGAATGGAGATTACAAAATGAACATTACTTATTCCAATGGGCAACCTCAGTACCGTGAATTACATATACGATCAGGCAACAAACTAGAGAGTTTCTTGTGTTCCCTTCAGATATTGGATGCTGATAACTTGAGGGAAATTCAAAGTGAATTAGCCCAATGGGATTTGCTCAATGACAACCTAAATTCATGTTTTAATCACCTTGTGGATAAATTGCCTGAATATTCTAAGTTAATTGAGGAGAATCTCCAAATTTATTTCAGCTGCTATGAGCAAAGCCTATCTGTAAACTCCAAGTCTAAAGACTGGGAGATCTTCGCACAGAGTAATGATGGAAAAGTAGATTTTAACTTCAAATTGCATACTTGGAATCTGTTTTCAAAGCAGAATGAGGGCAAAACGCAGGAGCTCACTGTGAAAACACTGGATGACACACGGGCACTAATCCGAAATCTGCGGGGAGCATCTAAGCATGTGCAACTATTCAACAAAGCGCTAGATATATTTCGTGAGGAAACATCATGTTTGCAAAAGAATGCTTGCCTTGTCATCGAGTGTGACCAAGGAGAGATGGTTTTCATCTCTGGCAAAGGGAAGAACAGAATCGATATATTCTACCATGAAGAGGTCATCCATTGTAAGGTATATCGTACTGGGTTAGCGAAGATACAGATGTTCTTTCTGCGGTTAATTACCGGTAAATTCTTTCCAACGTTTGTTGAAATTGCAGTCCCAATAGCAACACGTATGCTGCCATTTCTTTTGTGAGGTCCTTTTCATCGAGATCATTACTTGGGATAAAGTGGTTTCAATGAGGGTTAAATAAATTGTATTGAACAGCGAGTGCTGTAGGGGCATCATTATTGCCACAATGGTTAGCATATTTTAAATCTGTACTAGAAACTTTTTCTAACAGAAACTCACTCAGTTGGTTCTTCCAGTAGGCAGAGGAAGTAGATGCTTAGTTACTTGAAGCTGACCTGATCAATTTAACTATCCTTTTAATGCTGAACTTTAGGGCACTTTAAAGAAACTCATTTCAAGAAAGTCCACTTGATGCATAATTATTGTATTAATTTTCATCAAACTGATGAGTGTGTCTATGTGCCTTCGAGTCAGTCTTGACTCCTGTCTGGACTAATCCCTGCAGTTTTCTTGACAAGATTTCAGAAGTACTTTACCAATGACTTCTTCCTAGGATTGAGAGAGTGTGAGTGGCCCAAGGTCATCCAGCTGGCTTTTGTACTTGAGGCAGGACTCTTCCGTGTCCCAGTTTCTAGTCTAATGCCTTAACCACTACACCAAACTGACTCTTGATAATGAGTACTTAAGCACATTCATGCACCTGTTTATATATAGGACTCCTTGCAACTGTGGGCTGTGTGGATATTTTTTCCTTCCTTTCTGATAAGGACCAGGTTGAAATCTAGCTGCTTATGCTAATTCATAAGGTACTAAAGTCTAGTTCAGCAAGTCCCTTCATGTTTGTATCTTGCTATTATCTGTGTATTCTCTTTTTTAACCAAACTCACTCTATACCATGATTTAGCAGTGTTCCAGCATAGTCACTGTTTGACAGATTGAACTACAAAGTTATAAGAGAATCAGGAAACAAATTAACATTCAGGTAAAGTTTTTGTTTGCTTTCTTTACTGCAGGTAGTCCTCGATTTACAACAGTTCATTTAGTGACTGTTCACTGAAAAAAGTGACTTATGACCATTTTTCACACTTATGACCTTTGCAGCATCCCCATGGTCATGTGATCAAAATTAAGATGCTTGGCAACAGGTTCATACTTATGACCTTTGCTGTGTCCCAAGGTCATGTGATCACCTTTTGCTTCTCACCTTCTGATAAGCAAAGTTAATGGGGAAGACAGAATCACTTAACAACTGGGTTACTAACTTATCAACTGCAGTGATTCACTTAACAACTGTGGCAGGAAAGATTGTAAAATGGGGCAAAACTCACCTAACAAATGTCTCACTTAACAACAGAAAATTTGGGCTCAGTTGTGGTTGTAAGTTGAGGACTACCTGTAGTACAAAAACAAGTTTTCAGCTGTTAAGGGTGAAAAAAGGGATTTCAGAAGTAAACAAAAATAAATCCAGCCCCCCACCACATAATTTTGTGAAAAAAACTTTATTTATATTTCCTATTTCTTGATTGCCCATCTCCCTCAGAGAAGACTGTTTTCCCCACTTCTGTTCACCTTGCCAAAATATTTATAAAGTACTGAAGCCAAAATATTGTTTTTCTGAATTTGTTCAAAATTTGGTATAGATGTACTCCTAAAATTAATTCCATGCTTACCACCTCTTCAACCGCTTAACAATTTAAACAGTCTCAGGAACTAAAAAGATGTATTATTTAAAAGATTTCTGTATTGGGGATATTCCTAAAGCAGAACAATTACAGATAATTTTGGAAAATTTGGTTAATGCATGGTTTCATATATGTCAAATATTGTACTTCACTGCAATTCTGAGAATGAGAATACAAGTTACTATAACCACGGTTACATTTGAAATTAGGTTAATTCATCTTTACCTCGTTTAAATTTATTAGTTACTAGATCACTGGGCCATCATTTCAGAAATATTTCCCTACCTAAACAGAAAAACAAAATGACCACGGGTGGGAGTGATTGCAACTTCCAAACTTCCTCCTGGCTTCCCCATTGAGTTTCATTAAATTAATTTTTTTTTTAAAAAGTAAAACTTCATGTGAAATGTGAAAGAACTCCTGCCTTGAGTAGGGGGTTGGATTAGAAGGCCTCTGAGGTCCCTTCCAGGCTATGTTTTGTGTTCTAAATAGTAACTTTTCCCCAATTTTATTTCTCTCAATGTTTTTCCTAAGTCAAGAATTTGAGGGTCAAAATAGACCCCCAAAATTAGATTTGGCTTATCCATAGTTGAGCTTCATCTGTGAATAAATGCCATAATACCTTTTGTTAAATATTATTATATTCTCAAATTTAAGCTCATCTGTGATAAGCCAGTTTGGTGTACTGGTTAAGACATTAGGCTACAAATTAGGAGATTGTGAGTTGTAATCCCACTTTGCTGACAAAACCTACCTGGTGTTGGTTCTTGGTCCAATCATTTTCTCAGCCCTAGGAAGGAAGCAATGGCAAACTAATTCTGAAAAAAAAACTTGCCAAGAAAAGACATGATTGACGAGGGAAAGCCCATCTGCAGCTAATCCAATCTTCACATTTTTAGCCAAATTACCATTAAAAAATGTGCCACCCACAGAGTAGCTAATCATAAAAATTAAAGCATGAACAATTCAAAAGTCAGTTTACTGTATTGTGGATGGGTTTATTTGCAAGAATATATGATTTGTTAAAATACATGCACCCATTGCTAGATATGATTCTATAGCAATAGCAATAGGACTTAGACTTATATACTTCTTCACAGTGCTTTACAGTGGGGTCTCCAACCCCCGGTCCATGGACCAGTACCAGGCCGCAGTATGCCATCAAGCGGTCCGCTCAAACAAGCAAAGGTGCATCCACGGGATGCAGGCAGCACACAAAACCATGCACCCTCCGGTCCGCGGAAAAAACTCTCTCCACTGAACCGGTCCCTGGTGCCCAAAAGGTTGGGGACCTCTGCTTTACAGCCTTCTCTAAGAGTGAGCATGTTATCCCCAACAATCTGGGTCCTCATTTTATCAACCATTGAAAGGATGGAAGGCTGAGTCAACCTTGAGCCAGTGAGAATTAAACTGGTGGCAGTTGGCAGAATTACCTGCAATACTTTATTCTAACCACTGCATCACCACAGTTTAGAGCAGGGGTGTCAAACTCGCCATGTCATGTGACATGTGGTGATGTATCACTTTTTCCCCCTTGCTGGAGCTGGGGTGGGTGTGGCTTCCGCGTGACGCATTTGGCTCGTGGCAGGCAGTTTGACACCCCTGGTTTAGAGGCAGTAGCATTTAAAATAAATATTCATACTAGTATCTAGTGCTGTAACCTAATCCAGACAGTTATCCTTCTAGGGAGGAGCAATGAAACAGTGCAACAAGAGATCACAATATTGCTGTTAAAGGTACACATCGATACTATTAAGGATATTAAAAAAGCAAGATTTTTTTTAAAAAAATATATATATTCATTTTTCCCTTTCCTTTTTTCCTCTTTGCACCTTTTTTAAAAAAAGTACTTTGTATTAGTTTTTTTCTTTGCACTTTTCAAATTTTAATAAAAATATTATTTAAAAAACACAATATCATAAAGGATACTGCATGTATGAAGTATAACTAGGAAATCATTTCAATAGCTCAAAACATTTTGGAAGAAGGCAGTTTTATTGTATTTTTTTTATCTTACTGATTCATATGCAATTGACCAAACCTATATAATTTGAGGAATATTTTGCTCTGGGCTCTCTTTCCTGCTGTAAGTGTATTTCAATAAAGTATACTTCATTGCAGCTATCTCCAGATGTTTCAGTTTTAATTTAAGTGAACAGTTTTCTCATGGCAAATCCCTTTCATCCTTCGTTTAACCTCAGAACTCAATTGGTTATATTGCAAAGTTCTGAAAAATTAATTGGTTTATTTGCACCACAAATGAAGAACGGTTGCAGGAATTGGGTATGTCTAGTCTAATGAAAACAAGGACTAGGGATGACATAATAGCAGTGTTCCCGTATCTGCCAGAAAGAAGAGGGGATCAAAAAAAGAGATCAGACAACCATTTGTCTGAAATGATATAGGGCCGTGGTGGTGAACCTATGGCATGAGCCCTCTCTGTGGGCACGTGCACCGTCGCCCCAGTCCTAGGCCTTCAGCTGGGTTTTATAAAACCTTTTCGCTTTAGGCCTCCACTGCCGTGTGCAAAAAAAAAAAGGTTCAATCAATCAGTCAATTTCAACTTCTTGCAGGAAAAAGAGATCTCACAAAGTTGGAATTGATTGAACTTTTTAGTCCCACCCAGTCTGCCGTTACCACCGAAGCCACGCCCACCCAATGGGCCACCCGGCGCCCGACGATATATAAGAGGGTTTTGGGTTGCAGTTTGGGCACTCGGTCTCTAAAAGGTTCGCCATCACTCATATAGGGTCTCCTGCTTGACAAGGGAGTCAGACTAGAAGACCTCCGAGGCCTCTTCCAACTCTATTATTCTACATTCTATTCTTCAAAGCATCTGAAGGCAGGACAAAAAGCAATGGATGGAAACTTATCAAGGAGAGAACCAACCCACAACTAAGGAGAAATATCTCGACAGAACATTGAATCCGTGGAAAGGCTTGCCTTCCGAAATTGTGGGTGCTCCATCACTAGAGGTTTTTAAAATGAGATTAGATAACCACTTGTCTGAATGGTATAGGGTTTCCTGCTTGAGAGGGGGTTGGATTAGAAGACCTCCAAGGTCCTTTCCAACTCTGTTATTCTATTCTAATCTGTAGAAAGCCTGATACATTAAAGCAGGGGTGTCAAACTCAATTTCATTGAGGGCTGCATAAGCATTGCGGTTGCCCTCGGGGGTGGGGGTGGCCAGGGTGGGGGTGGCCTACTGGGTGGCCATGGCCAGCTTTACATCGTTCGCATCAAGGGTGCCTGTGGGGGCCTGGGCAGGAGTGGGACAGATCTGAAGGTCTCTGGCAGAAGGGGATGGGACCGGGGCAAGCGCCAAGGCATGGTCCATTTCTTCATTCCTCACAAAGGATGACATCTCCCCAGCATGCACCCAGGGGGCGGGGCTGACGCAGCAGGGGCTGGTTCCTCACTGTTTCCAGACGGCCGTGGAGAGCTAAGACTGAATGCGTTTCAGCATAGATGGCCACCACAAAATTGTACATTGGCTCCCGGCCAGCCTGGGCC